TATATCTTTAAGAGACGTTTTGAAGGCAGGATCATCTGGACTGGTGATGAAGTGGATGTGAGGGTGAGACAGCAGGAGAAGTCAAGGATGCTGCCAGGTTTTCGGCTTGAGCAGCAGGGTAGATGGTGGTCCCACCCAGTGCAAAAGGGAAGACCCAAGGAAGAACAGGTTTAGGGAAACTCAAGACTTTCCGCTCAGGAATGATGAGTGTGTGTGGCCATGTCACCTCCAGGTGGGTATGTCCAGGAAGCAGTTGCCTACATGGGCCTAAAGCTCAGAATCAAGGTCTGGGCTAGAAATAGAAATTTGTGAATCACTGAAAATGTGTGATAATTAAAATCGAGGACCAGTTGAGAGAGAGAGTGGGGGTGGGAGGGGGAGGCCCTAGGTTTGTGCCCTAAAGAACTCCAGTGTTGATTCATTCAGCAAACATTTATTGAATCCCTTTATATGAGGCCTGTGTAGGGTCTGGGGTTACAATGAGAAAAAAGGCACAGTCCCAAGTCCTGGATGAGCTCAGTCTCAGCAGAGTGGGAGTTGATCCAGATTTTGTGGGGCCTGACACTCTTTAAGAAAAAGAATATAAAACTATTGGTACAAAAATCAAATACAAGGTCTTGTAAAGTGTTTATGTAGGGGAGACATGGGCCTTGGAAATTAAGCTTCACTGGCTCCATGGTAAATCCTCCTCAGTGGGGAAGACAGATAAATAAAATTGATGTGTAATGGTATAGGAAAGCGCTAAGGGATTTAGTACTGCAGAGAGTGGACATCTCAGCAGACCAGTCAGGGAAGGCTTCCTCCGGGAGGGATGTTTAGCAGAATCTTGAAGAACAAGCAGGGGGTGGCTGACTGAAGAAGGGGTAAGAACTCTCCTGGGCTTGTGGAGAGGCCAAGGGAATGAGACACCATGAGATCATAGCTGCACTGTCCTGTATGGTGACCACTACCTACATGGAGCTACTCAGCTCTTGAAATGGGGCTAATCTGAACTGAGATATGCTGTAAGTATAAAATATACAGTGGGGGGCGCCTGGGTGGCTCAGATGGTTAAGCGTCTGCCTTGGGGTCAGGTCATGATCTCAGGGTCCTGGGATCGAGTCCTGCATGGGGTTCCCTGCTCAGTGCAGAGCCTGCTTCTCCACTCTCCCTCTGCCACTCCCTCTGCTTGTGCTCTTCTGTCTATCTCTCTGTCAAATAAATAAATAAAATCTTTAAAAATAAATAAATAAATAATAAAATACACAGTGGGTTTCAGAGGCTTAGTATGAAAAAAAAGGGCAAAATAGCTCATTGATATTTTTATAGTAATTATATGTTGAATTATAATTAGTATATTGGGTTAAAGTATATTATTCAAACTAATTTCACGTGTTTCTTTTACGTTAAAAAATGTGGCTACTAAAATAGTTAAAATTACGTGTGTGACTTGCATTCTATTTCTCTTGGACAGTGCTGGACTAGAGGTAAGAGGAGGCTGATAGGTGCTCAGGTAAGGAGTCTGGACTCCCTTGTGAGGATAGTAAGCCCCTAGGGTGTGGGGGAGGGACATGATTTGTGCTTTGTTTAGAAAATCACTCTGGCTGAGGGATAGAGAATGAACTAGAAGAGGAATAATCAGGAGTCAGGGGGGTTTTGCAGGACTGTAGGCGGGAGAATGGAGAGATGAGGTGAAATTTGAGGACTTTTAGAAACTAGGTCTGGGGCGCCTGGGTGGCTCAGTCGTTGGGCGTCTGCCTTCGGCTCAGGTCATGATCCCAGGGTCCTGGGATGGAGCCCCGCGTCAGGCTCCCTGCTCAGTGGGAAGCCTGCTTCTCCCTCCCTCTCCCACTCCCCCTGCTTGTGTTCCTGCTCTCACTGTCTCTCTTTCTGTCAAATAAATAAATAAAAATCTAAAAAAAAAAAAAAAAGAAAGAAAGAAAGGAACTAGGTCTGACCTCTAATTGGATGTGGGCTATGAAGGAGAGGGAGGAATTCAGGTAGACTTCTGGGTTTCCAGCTTAGACAAATGAGTGGATCAGAGTGCAAGACTGTACTCAGGAAAGGGCTAGTGTGAAGAGCCCCCTACTAGAGTATAACCTGGGTGAAGGCAGGACTCAGACCAGGGATTCAGTAAATATTTGTTAAATGAATGCTAAAAAAAAACACACACTAAAATATGTGGTTCAGGAAATGTGTCATGGATGGTCTAGAAGGCGATAGGTCAGTGATTAACTGCTACATCAATGGGAGATAGAAACTGGAAGTCAGGAGGGGGAGCCCCCTGAGGGACTGCCATATTTGCCATCACAGGTTCCCATGAATGGCTACAAGGGATCCCACTGCTCAACCTCAGCAAGATACATCACAGGTACTGGGGGCTTTGGCTGGCAGGAAAACATCCTCTTTGGTTTCCTCAGCCCCTTTGCTAATTTTCATGAGGAGAAGGAGAAGGTGGGGTGATGAGGCTGAAGAAAGAGGAGGGGCAATGGATTGGGGTCAGAGGTGGATGTGAAATGTGTTGGTACTAAGGGCATATTCTGAAAGCACCTACCTGCCAGGACTGCTACCCATAACAGACCCATCATCCACATCTAAATGGAGATGAACATTCATGTCCATTTACCTAAAATGTCAATAATTTAAAACAGAGCCACTAGGGAATAGAGATTTTACCTCATTACCTTATTTATGCTTGGGAAAAGAAATGAGTTAGTAAACAACAACAATAACAACAACAACATCTAATGGGGATCAGGAGATCAGAGTTCTGACACTGTCTTTGTGAGTGTGGGCAAGTGACACACTCTTTCTGTATCTCTGTTTTCTCATCTATCAAAGAGCAGTAATAATACTAACCTTGTCTGCTTCATGGAGTTAGTAGTCTTGGATGAGAAAGCGAATGTGAAGGGCTTCAGAAAATTAGAAGTACATGCTGAACTCAGAAGATACTGATGGGTGCAAAGAATGATGAACTCATAGAGAAATATTTTGGCTTGAGTACATCTGATAGCAGAAAAATCATTAGGCATGTGCATCACGGGGCAAAAGTCAATCTCTCCTGCCCCTCTGTGGACAGAACTAGCTACCCCAAAGGGCAGCCTGGCTCCTCACAGTTTTTTGCCTCCAGAAACTCAATGGGTTAGGGTTGGACATGATAAACGTGAGATGGCTGGGCCAGCAGGGGTTGGTGCCAAAGCCTCCAGTATGCCAGTAAACTTACCCAAGTGTCATGAAAGAGTCGGGGGATTTGTTCACAAAATCAGCAGTGTTCCCTTCATATGCAGATGGGTTATTTCTGCTCTATTTCATTCATTTGCATATTCATTGGTTCATCCATCTGTTTATTTAATTCATTCAGCAATCTACGTCCAGCTTTCAAACCTCCCCCATCCTTCAAAGCTTACTCAAATTCTACCTACTTCAGGAAGCCTTCTTGTCTCTCCCACCACTACACCTTCATCTACGCTTTCCATTTCTTGAACCACGTTCTGCTTTGTCAGCATTGGTTCCAATTCCTTTCTGGACATAGAACACGTGTCCGCAACATCTTTGTATCCCAACAGCACTAGCACACTGACCTATAAACAGCAGGTGCTCGGGGAAATAAGAACTGAATGAATGAACAAATTGGGTGGATGGGAGGGTGAGGAGCCCTGGCTCAGGCACTATTTTCTTTATTTTCTGAGTTGAAACAGAGACAGAGTATAGAACGTCCAGTTCTAGTTCTGGCCACAGAGGCCAGAGTGGGGAGGTGAAGACAGTTTTGGGGGGGCAACTATTGGTGACCATGTTGCCTGAAGATAGCACTAGAAGCTACTTAGGAATAGCTACTCGTTCAGCTCACCTTTAGTGAGCACCTACTATGTACAAGAAATGTGCTGCAGGTTAGGGGAACAGAGATGACTGTATTGAAAGTTCAAAAAAAATTGCGTCTAGCTGGGTAAATAACTGACATAGGTCAAAAGTTAAAAAATGATTCTTTTAAAAGTTCAAATGGCACTATAAAGCAGTAAATGCAAGGTAGAAGGCCAGTGGTCCAGACAATAAGTACTGTGGGTTTAATGATTCTTCATCTTAGATTCTTCTAGGGCTGTCTCATTTCCCAGCTGGCTGCCCTGCAGCTTTCCCCAGGACCTGAGTGCTTACTTGATCATAGAGCCAGATTTTGGTAACAAAAAAGTGTGCTCACTGTTGTTATACAGCTTTTGAGGAGAGAGGTATCATAGGGAGCTGGAGTGAGGGTGGGAGTAGAAGGGGTCATTCAGGAAAGCTTTGTAGAAGAATTCACCCTGAATTTTCTGAAAAACTGGTAGACATAGAGGAATGGAGAAGGCATTTTAAGCCGAGAGAAGAGTCGTGAATAAGGGTCCAGCAGTTGGAATGGATTGGGGACAGTTAGAGGACAGTTCATTCATGCCTCATTCAACAAATATTTATTGAATCTTGTGAAGTGCCCAAGAGTGTTTTTGTGCTAGACACACAGTGGCAAATGAAGTAGGCAATCTGCCTTCAAGACGCTAGGGGCCAGTTAATTTATTTGTATGTTTGTTAACAATGTTAGCAATGTTTGTTAACACACAAATAAATTGAGGAAAGCGCTACGGAGGAAAAGAACAGAAATCTATAAAAGAGAATGAGACAACACCTTAGCTCCCCAGAGGAAGGTGACGTGTAAATGGAGACCTGAAATATTGGGAGTGAGGGAAGGAGGGTGCCAAGCATGGAAGGAGGGGCCCCGTGATGAGGTTTTCAAAGTGGGTAAAGAGGGACTAAAAGACAGTTGGTGTTACTGGACTGTAGACAGTGGACACATTTGACTGGGCCTACAGTGTGCAGAGGGAAGCCAGACCGTGAAAGGCCAGGCTGGGGTTTGGACATGGTAAAACATCTTCTGAGAGCAGGTTATCTTTGGGTGTGTTTCTGTGTTCCCACCTGAGGGTTCCCCGGAGAGAAAGGGAAGTAGAGAGGGAGAGTAAGGGTCTCTCCAAACATCTCGTGATTCCTGTCCCTGTTTGCAGCCAGGCAATGGGGCAGCTGCGGTGGATGAGCTACAGGAAAACACGAAGCTAAAGGTGGGTGCCATGTGGAGTCTGCCCAGCAGGGACACTGCAGGGTCTCGGAGGACAGCCATAGACCTGAGGCACTGCGGCCCTGATGCTGGGGATCCTGGGCGGGGTTCAGGCTTGGGAAGCTCCTGGGAGTGCTCCCAGGATGAACCAGTGAAGGAGCCAGCTCCTTTGCCAGAGGGACTGTCACCTCCAAGGTGACCTTGGAAGAGGTGCTTCTTTGGGAGTTAAATCCAGAACGTCACTGCTTGCCCTGCCACTAGCTTGCTGTGTGAGTTTTGCATCTGTAAAATGACTGGGCACTAGTCAAACTCAAGCCCCAACTCTTAGAATTGATCTAAAAGCCTAAGTACCTGTGGCTTTGGAATGCTCCAGAAATAAGAGAAACACAGGAGGGGCACTGGGAGCAGGGGAGACTGAGGTTTCTGAAAAACTGTATCTTAGCTGCCTTTTGCCGGTGGGATATTTGGGAAGAATTATGGGAACGTTAGAGAGGAGAGGCTGGGGCCTGAATGACATCGTCCTCATCCAAAGAAAATCCCTAGGCATGTTGTGAAGTACCGTGTTACTACAGCACTAGATGGCAGAAGAGTTCAACTCCAGAGGGATGGGGGATGGGGCGTGGGGGGAGGGAGGGAGGGACTGAGCAAGTGTTGGTCTGTCTTGGATGTTCCTTTGTAAATCAGATGATATTTCTATGTGTGTCACATCTGCGTATCTGCACATATAGATGTGAGTATGTGTGTGCCTATGAGGGTCTCTTGAAGTATCTGTGTGTAGGAAAAAAGGGAAGGGAACTGGGAATCCAAGGTCCTGAGCGCTAGTTTTGAGTCTTTCACTTACCTTGGATAAGGCACCCAGCCTCGCTCAGTTTTCATTTCCTTTTCTGTAGAAGGGGATCCCAGCCTTGCTTATCTGGGGCTGGGGCAATGATAAAGCGTGATGATGCTTTGTGGACCGTAAAGCGTACCCACGCACAGTGGGTCTGTGCGTGTGGTGTGTGGGTGAGTGCGTGTTTCTGTGAGAGTGTATTTTCAGGGAAGGACAAACCCTAGGTAATGTGTTATGCTTTGTACACATTGTCTGCTCCCTGTTGAGACCTTGGGGGGATTATTCCGTACGTAGAATTAGCCAGTCATGGAAGAGTGGGGGGAGGCCGATATAATGCTCCTGATGGAGGTGAAGGGAGAGGGGAGGCCAGGGTCAGGCTCCTGTGCTTTGTTCTGCCTTCCAAGGGAGGGGAGGAGGGTTAGTGAGGTCCTCGTGCGGCTCTTCCCCTGGCTTGGGCAGGGGCCCACTGAGGCCTGTGCGGCTCTCCCCGCTCAGCTCCCAGCAGTGCTCCCCGCGGTGCTGACCCGAGGGAGCAGCTCGGCCTCTCTGCACAACAGCACCATTCGCAGCACCATCTACCAGCTCATGCTCCACAGCCTGGACCCTCTGGGAGAAGGTAAGCAAGGCCTCCCCAGACCTGCGCGCTCCCCTGTCTACTCCTTCCCTCCTGCGGCTGGACAAGAACAGGGGCCTGCAAAGGGGAGGATGAGGGCAGAGCGGGGAATCGAGAGCACAGGAGAGCTGGGGTGTGAGGCCAACAGTCTGGGAGACAGGGCAGAGAGAAGGCATAGGACTCAACAGGAGCTAAGGTCCTTAGGTATCCACATCCCACGACTTCCCTGTCTCCGGGTCCCCTCCTGTAAAAGAGTTCACCTGTAGTTAGCGGGGCCCTGAGTGCTGTGTGCCCTGCTCTGGTCTATGTTGGGGTTGCCCTCAGTGACTTCCCTACGAAGCCCACCACCCACAGGTTGGCTCCAGTATCCCACAGCATCTCCAGCCAGGCAGCTTGGCACAGGCTGACTGGCCAGGGCCACTGCTGGGGGTACCTCCTATAGGGCCCCACGGCCCAGAAGCTCTGAATGGTACCTCCCTGTGCTCTGTGTTGAGCTCTGGAGTCCTACGAAAACTGCTAACCCCATCTCCAGCCAGGAACCGCGAAGGAGCTGCCAGGGCCTCTTCTGGGGGTGGTAGGGGGCCAAAGTAAAGTGGGGCCTGATGTCTAACTGGACAAGTGATGGGAGTAGCTGAGCTTCTCACCATCCGTCTTACCAAGTCCTGCCTTCTGGCCCCTTTCCCCAGAGGGCTGAGCTGAATAGGACACCGGAGACTGACTCGTGAGCATCAGGAAGCACCTGGACTTACATTTCTGGCTCAGGGACAAATCTTGGGGTGGGGGAGCTCAGAATTTCCTCAGGCCCTGCAGATACAGTATTGGGTTTTTGGGTATTTAAAAGGGTATTGGGCTGGGAAAAACAGAGACAAAGACGAGATGATCTAATCTTCCTCCAAAAATCCTCAGTTGAGCCTCGGCAGACATTGAGAGAGGCCACCCCCAAGTATCGGTGCCCCTGGAGTTTTGAGAGTGGAGTTTGCTGCACCCGGCAGCCTGTGGCTGATTGCTGCTGGGGGCATGCCTGGCCTGGGGCACTGAAGGAAGCTCCGTCCCTGGGTTGGCAAAGTCCTGAAGATAAAGATCTTCTCCTGTATAGGACCGCAGGCCCCCCTGCCTGGGCCAATTCTGTGACCAGCAGCTGACCTACTTGTCCTAACAGGATTATGTGATGGCCGGGCCAGGCCCAGGTCAGAGGAGATTGATACTAAGTAGGAGATGATCCAGCTGCACTGAGAGCAGAGAGGCCATGAGAGGAAATGAACGCTGGGTGAGCCAGCGACAGGCACAGCCCCAGGAGGACAAGCGAGCTTCGTACATCGTGGGCACATGTGGCCACGGAAAGGGCCCCGTGGCCGGTGACTGCTGATGCGCTCTGGGCTCTGAGATGAAGTCCTGCTCGGAGAGGCAACTCTGATTCTACACCCCGAGGCCCCATCCAGGAGGCACTGGGACCTTGCCAAGCAATGACAAAGGCCTTTGTTTCCAAGACTTTCCAGATACACATTTGTGTTTCCATCTGCTGGTTCCAAATGGCTCTCCAGATGTTTCCACCCTTTCCAGGTGTTCTGGCTCTTTCCACAGAGCCTGTGTGTGGTCTGAACTCTCCCCTGCCCTGTGAAAGGGCTTCTCTTCTCCAGGACCCTATGCCTTTTACGGTGCTTTCACTTGGATGTGTGTGTATGCATGAGAGAGAGGGAGAGGGGACCAGAAAGAGGCCCTGCAGCTGACCTGCTTTCCTCAGTGTCGTGGGAAATGAGAGGTTAGGGTGTGCGAGGGGGGTCCAAAGGAAACAGGGGGACTTGGTTTTCCTTGCCAGCCCCTCCAGCCCACAGTCAGCCGATGGTCTCAGTGCCAGCCCTGGAAGCCGCGGAACTTTCCTGTGATAACAGCAACTCGTGTTGCCCCACAGAAGACTGCAATGCTCCATCCGTGCCAAGGGGGCACTGAAGTTGTGTGGATGAAGGAGGCAGTGGAGGGCCCACTTTCTGACCTCTCGGCTCTGGGCCCTGACTCGGACCTGTGGGGCTGGCCCACCAGGACACTTCGAAGGGCCTCATGTGCCCGAGGGGTGGCTCTGCAGGATGGAGCCTCTTGCCAGAAGCGGCTGCAGCTGAACCAACTCTGAGAGTTTAGGAGACAGGCTGAAAGGAGGAAATTCAGACCTGTTTATATTTCTTGCCCGTCCTGGACCCAGGCAGCGTTTGGTCCCCGCAGTTTTCCGCGTTGCACCTTCTCAGTCTGTCTGTGTCATAAACCAGAGGATCTCCAGGGTCCCTTTTAACTCGAACCCTCTGGAGTGCTGGGCCCCTACAGAGTTGCTTCCTGGGTGGGACAACTGCTCTCAACTACTCACTTCATCCTTGTTGTAGCGCATGCTTATGTAATGCTTTCTAGGTGCCAGACCCTGTTTTAAGCACATTCATGGATATATTTACTTATTCCTTTAACAACCCTGTAAGATTTTACAGATGAAGAATCTGAGGTACAGAGAGGTTAAGGAATCAGTGGGCTAGGTCCTTGGCTAGCAAGTGGCAGCACTAGGATTCAAACCCACTATTCTGGCTCCAGAATCCCAGCTAACCTAGCAAGATTTAATGGTACCAGTTAAAGCATTCTTATTTATTTTGTCTCATGGACCCCCACATCAGTGCTCTGTGTGTATCATGACGTTGCCTTTTTGGAGGGGGACACGAAGGCTTAGAGAGGGTATGCAGGCTTCCCAAGGTCACCCCGTGCTCACAGGAGAGAACCAGCCTGGGCTCCAGAATATATTCCACGGCCCACGTTTTATCACTTGTGCCATTGTCCTCACCCTCCGGGGCCACACAGCCGTGAGGAGGACCCTGATGAGCCCCTGCACCTCAGTCTCTGTGCCTCTGCCTTGAATTACCACGTAAAGCACGTTTTGAAAGAGATTGCCCTCCTCATTTTTCTTGCTTCGCTGTCAGAGCAGCTCAATTGCGCATACAGTGCTCTGTAGGCTTCTGGCAAAGTGTGTACACGGCGACGTGGAAGGAGGCCCTGCTTGGGCTCCAGGTACCTGGGGTCAGAAAGGGTGGGGCAGGGAGCTTGGTGGTCAGCTATTTCCCCTTTCTGGCCAGAGAAGGAGGCCTCATGAACATGGCCACCGGCAGTGCTCCTGGAGCTATACAGCAGAGCTTCTGGTAGATTCACAGAAAGTGAGCTGCTAAGGACCAAACAGATAATCTAGTTCACGGATGGCAAAAATGTCTCCCTGCCATTTTTTGTCCATTCCCTGCTCATTGCAGACATCACTGATCAGTCATGGCACCTCCTCCTACCAACCTTGGATCAGAATCCTCCTCAATCTAGCACTCCAGCAGCCATCACTTGAACTCATGAAGGAAATAAATCCTATTTGTTGCCTCCAGGTCCAACCATGTCGTTTTACCAGAAAGGAAGTAGGTTTAGAGAGAGGAAGTGACTTGCCTAAGGTCACAGCCAGTTAGTAATGATGCAGGGGATTTAAGGTGAAAGTTTGGGAAATGGGCAGCATGAACAAGCCTAGTAGGACCAGCATCCAGACCACAACTCCCAGGCCAGCCTCCTCCCACCCACTTCAGCTGTTCTGAAGCTGACCAGCCTAACTGCAGGGTCCCAGGTGAGATGTGTTCCCTTTTTCATTTGCAGCCCGCCCCTCCAAAGACAAGGAGAGCTTGAGTCAGGAGGCCAAAGCCAAGCTTCACGCTAACGCAGAGAACAAACCAGGTGAGAGGATGATGAGACTGCTGGGTTTCCTCCTACCACCTTCCTCCCTCCTGTGGGTCAGGGGCTGAGGCCTGCCTCCTGGCCTCTCGGAGCCAGTCAGCTGGAGCGATGATCTGGTGCCGCATGCCGGCCTCCTCCTTACAGCGTCTTCCCTTTTTGCCGGGGCTGGGGCCCGAAGGAGGCCCTGGACAGCTCCCTGCACACTCTGCTCTGATGGGGCAGGCCGGCCAACCCGGGGGTGGGGGTGTGTGTGTGCGTGTGTGTGTGTGTGTGTGTTTGAAGTCCCGCTTCTTTTTCACTAAATCTCATCCCAGAGGAGACTCTATTGGCCTCTATTTCTTCTTCCTGTCACTTCTACACAAGGACAGTGCTGTTAGGAATTGGTCTGAGACCAGCAACACCAGGAGGGAAGGACACCAGGGGTCCAGTGATAGAGAAGTGCAGCATCCCTCTGGCAGCTGGGATGGAGGGAGTAAGAGAGCTACTGGCCTGTGAGCACTGCACGGCAAACCAGGCCTGCCTAATGCACTCAGCAACCCCTGGAGGGAGGGAGAGCAGTAGCCATTCTCCCCATTCTACAGACAAGGAAACCCCAGCTGAGAGGTCGAGTGACTTACCTAAAGCCGCAGAGCCAAGAAGTGAGAGGGCCTCTTCCTAAACCCAGTGTTCCAGGCTTTCCGAGTCTCTCTTCCCTGCAATACTATTTCAAGGCGTCCAAGCTGCTGCCTTTGAAGTCACCAGGACCCTTTCTGTGCAGGTGGTAGGGGGAAGGGTCAGACCTTGAGGGTGGGGGCTTTGCTGTCTTTCTGGTCTCTGTTGCCCAAGCTGCTCATAGGATGAAATGCTTGTGAATACAGGGGGAGCAAGGATGGCCACTCCCAGGTGTCCTCTTATCCGCAGCTGTGTCTGTGGACGGGGCAATAACAGCTCATATCAATCACATCACGTTACTTTTCCTTTCGACAAGAAATTCCCCAAACTTTCTGAGAAGCCGAGGTGGAAAAGGGCCAGAGCCCCAGAGCCCCTCACACTAGCCTCTGGCAATCGCCCTTGGAACCGGGCACACTTTTCTGACGTATTCCATGTTTATCCTTTAAAGAGGAGGGGCCAGCCCAGCTTCCTGCGGTCACAGTCACACCAGCCCCCGATCCAGATGTCAAGGGAGATCAGGAGGAGGAGGATCCCAGCGGTCAGGTAGGCACCAACCTCTTTCTAGGTGGGGAAATTTAAGAGGCCCAGGGAAGGACTTGCTGGCCCCAAATCCTTCCTTCTTGAAGGTCTGAAATGCTATTTGAGGTTCATTCCTCTGAGGTAAGCATGGCCCTTTCTGTGAAGATCACGTACCTCGTGGGGCCAGTTAATTCACATTAACACCTCAGTATGAGTGACATATTATATATGAGACTGTGTTGTGAACTGTCACATGCTGTAAAAACATAAGGAGTAACTGTCAGGGGGCGCCTGGGTGGCTCAGTCGTTAAGCGTCATGATCCCGGAGTCCCGGGATCGAGTCCCGCATCGGGCTCCCTGCTCGGCCGGGAGTCTGCTTCTCCCTCGGACCCTCACCCCACTTGTGCTCTCTCTCTCTCAAATACATAAATAAAATCTTTTTTTTTAAAAAAGGAGTAACTGTCAGGGGGTCTGTCAGAGACTAGGGGGCAGTAAGACATGCAGAGGGGAGGGTTGCTGGATACATGCCTTGGAACCCCTGAGGTTTGTCTACAGGGCTTCCAGAGTCCTGCCACCGCTGTCTTTACGGCCACACAGCCTCTTCTTCCACCCCGCTCCAGCCAAACCGGGCTCCTGGTCTCTGTTTTTCTCCCTCCAGGCCTTGGTTTCCTCCCCTTCAGGATAACCTTTCCCCTCTGCCTTCATATCCCTCTCACCCACCTTTCCAGGCCACTCTTCATGCCCCCGTGCCCATCGAGTTTCCCTGACCCCCCCACCCCCCTCTAATGAATGAATGCCCGTTGTACTTGGTCCCTGTCTCAGGGCTCCTATCACTGCCTTCCCCTTACTCTATTTAGGAGTCTCTCTTAGTTCTCCTGCTAGGTGGTGAGGTTCCTGAGGGCAGGATGCACGTCTGAGTTGTCTGTCTCTCCCACAGAGAGAGATGCAATGCCTGCATGCACAACGGTGGTCAGTAAGGGTTGAGTAATGACAGTAAATAAGCATTTAGTTTACAAGTTCCATCCCTGTTTTTTTCTGTTTGACACAGTCAATTATATCTCGTCCTTAAGCCAGCAACTTTGGGTTTAGTGTCTAAGACATCTTGATGGTATCATGAATGTCCTGAGTAGACCCATTACAGCCGAGTGAAAGGGATTAAGAGGATACAGAGGTATCTCCTGGAATCCCAGGGCAAGATCAGTCTCACAAAGAACTGCACCTAGGCCTGAGCAGATATCTGTCACCCTAGTGGCTTCTCACTCTCTGTCTTGCTCTCCCTTAGGTCCTTTTCTCTGTGTGCAGGCTTTATCACTCAGCTTCATCTGGCAGCCTGGCTTCATTTGCTTTCTTATGGGCACACACAACCCTAAACCCCGACATGGGGCCTCCAGTCCATAGGGGGATCAACCAATGACTGGCTCCCAGTCTCAGAAGAGAATCTCTTCAAACTAGGTCCCAGGTCAGGGATCCAGCCTGTGTCCAATCAGCTATGGCAGGGAGTGGTGGGGTGCTTTGACTCCAACATGAAAAAAAGAGCCACCCGTTCAGAGGGTGTTAGGTGTGACAGTTCTTAGAGAAAAGGGTGCAGGCTGGGCAGACACTCCCATACCTGTGGATTTAAATGACTTGTCATCTCCTCCAGGAAGCCTTCTCTCCCGATGGGTTTGGGGGAGGGAGGGCAGGAATTATTTCAGACTAAAATCTTCTCATTGTTTGTTTCCGATTCAAAGCACAGGCCTCATGAATATTAATTTTTGACTACTACATCAGGGGTGTACAACTCGGGTTGCATATTAGAATAATTTTTTTTTTTTTTTAGATTTTATTTATTTATTTATTTATTTGACACACAGAGAGAAAGCACAAGTAGGCAGAGAGGCAGGCAGAGAGAGGCAGAAGCAGGCTCTCCACTGAGCAGGGAGCCCGATGCGGGACTCGATCCCGGGACTCCAGGATCATGACCTGAGCCGAAGGCAGTCGCTTAACCAACTGAGCCACCCAGGCGCCCTGCATATTAGAATAATTTGAGGAACTTTAATCAATGCCCAGACCTCACCCTCAACCAATTAAGTTAGAGTATCTGGGGTGGATCCTTGGGCATGAATGTTTTTAAAGCCTCCGGGTGATTTTAATATGCAGCGGAGTTGAGACTCACTGAGCATCCCTTGGAGGTTGCCTGTGTCATGAAATTTGTTACAGATGACATACTCCATGGGCACACAGCCCAAGTCATTTGCTCAAGGGACTGGCCAGGCATGTTGTTATAGGGTAGTTGGGTGCCTGATCTGTGGACACTCAGAATCAGTGGCTTTTAGATTACATATGGAGTCAGTCCCTGGTGCCCAAACAGTGGTCTGCAAGCAGATGTATTAGGAGCCCTTGTGAGCATGTTAGAATAGATTCCTGGCTTCTCATCACAGAGATTCTAATTCAGTTGGTCCAGGTGGGGCTCAGACATCTGTATTTCTTTGATTTTATTAATTTATTTTGCAAACAGTATTTCTACTAAGCTCCCCAAGCTACGCAGCTTTGAGAACCAAAGATCTCATTCAGCCTTGGCAATTGCAAAGCAGGGTGGCTTGGTGGTTAAGAGGCTGAGAGTTGGACTATCCATATTACAAAGCCCAACTTTATCGCTTACTAAGTGTGTGAACCATGGGCAAGTTATTTAACTACTCTGTACCCTAGTTTCTCCATCTGTTAGATGGGCTTAATTCTGTCTATATCATAAATTAATTGACTCATGAAACACACTAAGTGCTATTATTATTTAAGCCACTTAGCATAGTGCCTGGCACATAAAACCCCCCCAGAAAGTAGGTATTATCATCATCATTTTATACATATAAGGTAATATGACAATTTAGGAGTTTTAGTAGACTCAGCAATGTAGCCACCAAAAGATATGCCATATTAGGCAACATTAATGGGAGCAGGTATCTAAGAAAGGGAGGTGATAGTCCTATTCCACTCTGTGTGGTGTTCTGTGTTCAGTTTTTGAAGCTTCCTCACGGGGTATAAACTTAACTAGAGTGAGTTCACCAACATGGGGAGGAGGCTCCAGGCCATAGCATGGAAAGATGGAAGGACCTCCAAAGAGCCAACCTATACACAGAGGGTAGAACCTTGTTATAAATCTGGACTTTAATCAGAGTTGTCAAGATGCAGAAGCCACCAGAGGTGGTGAGTTTTCCACCCCTGAAAATGATCAGATAAAGACAGGACAACCACCAGGTGGGAATGTTGGGAAGGGAATTTTACTGAATGACTGTACTAGTTTTCTCCTCATATTCAAGTTTTTAGATCCATTCTGAGAACAACAACAACAAAAATGGGGAAGAACTGGGAAGGAAAACAAGCAGAGCAGTTATTACACACTATCTGTTGCCTTTGGATTGCAGGAAGGAGATGTGCCTGGAGCTGAGAGCACAGGTGACGTGATAGGTGAAGAGGCTGAAACTCCTGATAGAGGTGAAAATGGACAACAAGGTGGAGGTGAAACTCAACTGGAAGGTGAAGGTGAAATTGAAGCAGAAGGAGAAGGAGGTGAAGATGAAGGTGAAATTGAAGCAGAAGGAGGAGAAGGTGAACATGAAGGTGAAATTGAAGCAGAAGGAGAAGGAGGTGAAGAAGGTGAAATCGAAGCAGAAGGAGGAGAAGGTGAACATGAAGGTGAAATCCAAGCAGAAGGAGAAGGAGGTGAAGATGAAGGTGAAATCGAAGCAGAAGGAGGAGAAGGTGAACATGAAGGTGAAATCGAAGCAGAAGGAGAAGGAGGTGAAGATGAAGGTGAAATCGAAGCAGAAGGAGGAGGTGAACATGAAGGTGAAATTGAAGCAGAAGGAGAAGGAGGTGAAGATGAAGGTGAAATCGAAGCAGAAGGAGGAGGTGAACATGAAGGTGAAATCGAAGCAGAAGGAGAAGGAGGTGAAGATGAAGGTGAAATCGAAGCAGAAGGAGAAGGTGAACATGAAGGTGAAATCGAAGCAGAAGGAGAAGGAGGTGAAGATGAAGGTGAAATCGAAGCAGAAGGAGGAGAAGGTGAACATGAAGGTGAAATCGAAGCAGAAGGAGAAGGAGGTGAAGATGAAGGTGAAATCGAAGCAGAAGGAGGAGAAGGTGAACATGAAGGTGAAATCGAAGCAGAAGGAGGAGGTGAAGATGAAGGTGAAATCGAAGCAGAAGGAGGAGAAGGTGAACATGAAGGTGAAATCCAAGCAGAAGGAGAAGGAGGTGAAGATGAAGGTGAAATCGAAGCAGAAGGAGGAGAAGGTGAACATGAAGGTGAAATCGAAGCAGAAGGAGAAGGAGGTGAAGATGAAGGTGAAATCGAAGCAGAAGGAGGAGGTGAACATGAAGGTGAAATCGAAGCAGAAGGAGAAGGAGGTGAAGATGAAGGTGAAATCGAAGCAGAAGGAGGAGGTGAACATGAAGGTGAAATCGAAGCAGAAGGAGAAGGAGGTGAAGATGAAGGTGAAATCGAAGCAGAAGGAGAAGGTGAACATGAAGGTGAAATCGAAGCAGAAGGAGAAGGAGGTGAAGATGAAGGTGAAATCGAAGCAGAAGGAGGAGAAGGTGAACATGAAGGTGAAATTGAAGCAGAAGGAGAAGGTGAACATAAAAGTGAAATCAAAGTGGAAGGAGAAGGAGAAGGTGAACCTGAAGGTGAAATCAAAGAAGGAAAAGACGCCGATGAATATGATAGTGAAGGTGAACTAGCAGAAAGAAAAGTAACTGATGAAGGTGGAGGTGAACTCCAAGCAGAAGATGGTGAAATGAAAGCTGATGAGGGTGAAAATGAAGAGCGGGAACTCAATGCTGAAAGTCAAGGTGAAGCCAAAAGTGATGAGAAAGGTAGAGATGGTGAAGGGGGAGGTGAAGGAGGTGGAAGTGAAGATGAAGAGGAGGAAGAAGAGGAGGAAGAAGAGGAGGAAGAAGAGGAGGAAGATGAGGCGGAGGATGAGGAGGAGGAAGAAGAGGAGGCAAGTGAGGAGCCTTTGTCCCTGGAGTGGCCCGAGACCAGGCAGAAGCAGGCCATTTACCTGTTCCTCCTGCCCATTGTGTTCCCACTGTGGCTGACCGTGCCCGACGTCCGGAAGCTGGTGAGTGTGCCCAGCTATACCCCAGGGAGTCTGTGGAGTCTCTAGGCACTCTCACACAAGAGGTGAGAGGACGGGGCAAACTGGCTTGGCAGGGCTCGAACCAGAGAGTATCTGGGATGCACCTTGCAGCTCCAGAAGGGACCACGTGCCTAGGGGGACATACCGGTAGGCTTGGGAGGCCCTAAAATGTGCTTATTTCCATCACTATAAGCGTGTGAACCAGTACCTCAACTCCTATTGTCAGTTTCTTGATTTTAATACGGGAATAATGCCAAGCTCCCCCCTGCCCCTCCATAGGTCACAGGGATATTCTGAAAACATAGGGGGAAAGTATTATTTCTATAGGGAAAGCTCTGACTAACATGCTCTACCCAAAGGCCATCCATACTCTACCTCGAGGTCCAGAGGTGCATAGAGCAGCAGGAGGTTGTAGATACCACACCAAACACCTAGACCAGTCTGGTTCTAGGGCAAGCAAATAGTTCTCTTCAGTTTGGTGACTGCTGAATGCCCTGCTGGCCGGACTCCCTGTGGGCTGCCAACTCCTTCCTTCCCCAGCCACCTCTGGGTCCTCACTGGAGATCCAGATCTCAGCTGACCCATCTCCAGATCCTCTCCATCACTCCCCTAGCAGGTCCTGTCACTGATTCTGGGGCTCCCTCGGAACGGTCAAAGACCTTTAGCCTCTGCAACTTATTTCTCTTCCTTTTCAAACTTGCAAACAGGAGTCTAAGAAGTTTTTTGTTCTCACCTTCCTGGGATCCATCATGTGGATAGCCATGTTCTCATACCTCATGGTATGGTGGGCTCACCAGGTGAGTGAACTAAATCCTGCATCAGTGGGTCCCAAGGACACTTTTTTTCCTTCAGGGTGAATGTCCAGTACCCAGGCAATGGTGAGGCTCAAGTGAATTTGTAGTTTCTACATTGTTTGTAAAGGCTCAAAAGTTGACCTCATTTCAGTGAGTGTAGTATTTTCAACTGTGGGTCTTGTCTTACAGTCATGCTGCAGCCTGACATAGAAGGCCCGTCACAGTCTGACCCAGCTGACCATTGCTGACTAGCCTTATTCCGAGCTTTCTCTGTCACGCATGCCCTGCTCCCCTCCACCTGGTGACGGTGTGCACACTCGTGAGAGCAAGCTCAGTTTTGCCTTCTCTTGGACATTTAGTCAGTCTTCCTCTGAGTGCCCATGGCTTTTCTGTTCTACCTGGGATTGCTGGTTACAAGCTTTTCTCTTTCACTAGGCTGGGAGTAGGGTCAGTGTTGTGGTGCTCATACTTCTATCTCTGGCCTCTAACTTAGTTCCTGGCACATAGCAGGTGTCCGTGGTTCTGGAACTGGAAACATGACATGAACAAATCTCTGGAGGGGCAGTTCTTTTGGGAAGGTGGAGGTGTTGTAGTTGGAACGACAGTGAGAGTTGGTATTAAAGATAGACTTGTAGTCCAATTTAGACAAGAGCTGCGTCATTCCCCAAAGCCTGGAGTAGGGGCCCTGCTCTTCCTCTGTGTGGCTCCTCTCTCCCAGGCTAAAGTAGTGTGCTGAGCTCTGTGGAAAGGGGTTGGGTTTGCACAAAATAGTATGTGGTTGGTGTTTGAAGAGCCTCCGATTTTCCCCTTGCTGTTGCCATGGTTTCTTATCACTGTAACTTTTTACCAGGTTGGTGAAACAGTAGGGATTTCTGAAGAGATAATGGGTTTGACGATCCTAGCGGCAGGCACGTCCATTCCTGACCTCATCACCAGTGTGATTGTTGCTCGGAAAGGCCTGGGAGACATGGCTGTGTCAAGCTCTGTGGGCAGTAATATATTTGATATCACCATGGGGTGAGTGGCAAAGTTGCTTTCCAAGGCATCATCAAGTATGACTGGAAAACACTGTGTTGGCTCTGTTCGCTGGTTTTCTGCTTCATTATTTATACATGGACGAAAAGGGCATTTATATTATTAGTGTCTACAAGGCAGCAAAGTGTCCTCCCTTCATTCATCACAGCCAGATGGGATAAGAGGGCAAAACTGCTGCCTGAAATGTAACTGAGTAGAATTTATAGATGAATTGAAAAACAAAGTCCATCAAATTCATTACCAAATACAGTCAAATGCTCTGCTCACTGACCTCTAAGGTGGTGGAAGGAGCAGTGACTCAGTCGCACTTCCTGATATTTCTGCTCCTTTGCATTTGGCCTCCTGCCAACTCTGAGGCTCTAAAAGCATTTTGTCTAAACAAGCAAATGCAGCATCCTCCTGTACCCCTTCTCTTACCCCCTCCTCCCAACTTGTCAGAGCAGAACCTCTGGGCTATTTTCATTTCCGCAGGCATATCCCAGATTTGGGTAGTGGCTTTGGTTTCTTTAATTTGAATTTGTGTATGTGTGTGTGTATGGGGGGGGGGGGGGGGCGGGTGGAACACAGGAGAGCCCTGATCATTAAAGAATTTAAAGACATGTTAGCCTGAGATAGGACTTACCATAAAAATTGTGAGATTAGAGAGTCAAACATCAATCCATCTGGGTTCCTCATAGGCACATCATGAATTATGGAGGAAAAAACCCCACTTGGATCCAGAAAATTTCAGTTTTAATCTAGGGTCTTCTAGTTATTAGCTGTGAGTCCTTGGGCACGTAATTTCAATTTCCCTGAACTTAAGTTTCCTCATCTGTGAAATGGGGCTAATATTTTCTCTTCTATTTCATAGGCTTTTTGTGTGTGTGTGTGGAAAAATAGGGATTAGACACTCATACAAATTGTAAAATAGTGTTTACGTATGTGGGATTATTATATGTATGTAGGATTATTACATTATAAATTAAGAATATTCACATTGTTTCTTCAATCTTGCAGCCTGCCTGTCCCTTGGTTGCTCTTCTCTTTCATCAATGGATTACAACCTGTTCCAGTCAGCAGCAATGGCTTGTTTTGTGCAATTGTTTTGCTTTTTCTCATGCTCTTGTTTGTGATCTCTTCAATTGCATCGTGCAAATGGAGAATGAACAAGATCCTGGGCTTCACAATGTTCCTCCTTTACTTTGTATTCCTGATAATCAGCGTGATGTTAGAAGATCGAATCATTTCCTGTCCTGTATCTGTCTGAGTCAGAGTCACTGTTGCTCACAATGGACATGGATCAGAAAACCATGCCAGAAGCTACTGCACTTGTTGTTACAATAATGAAAGAATGAACATGGTCCAGGAGAGTGACAGGAGTGGCCAACAACCTCTAATGGGAATGTCATCTGGGACTGAACATTATCTTTGGAAACACCAGCAGCTCGTTGTGGATTAAGAATCTCACCTCTGGAGGGATAGAGTTCCTACCCCTGACTGATGTTGGCAGCTATCATGTGGAGGCCAGTAGAAGGACCTCTGGAGCTAGAGGGTTTTCTGAGAGATAACTTGGGGGTGAGTGCAGGTGCAGTCACCCATGCTCACAGTCCCTGCTCATTCCTGAAGGGCTGCTGATCCAAAGATGCAGATGTGGTCTGCACTGCACCCTTGGCACCTGGCCCAGGCATACGCTGCAATTTGCTGTCCCCTCTTTTCCTGTTTAAAACATGAGGTTTTTTTGTTTGTTTGTTTTGTTTTATCAGGTTTGTAAACATTACAGGTCCAGTTATTGGTGGGTTTACGGAACTAAGACTATAGGAAAAAAAAAAAGTATAACAGGAATCAATTATCATTACACATCATAGTCCAGTAAAATGTGTACCAGTATTTTATAGCTTAAAAGGACTACCTTAGCTCTTGTAGCTGCATTTCTGAAAACTGAAATTAAAATAAGTAGCCCAAGAAATTAAAATTTATACATCGCCCTTGAATTGGAAGTAGGGGAGATATTAGGGAAGGAAAACTACTCTAAGGGCTATTTAAACATATGTACTTACTAGAAAATCCAAGTTAGTATTGTCTCTGCCAAGTGGTCACCTTGAGGGATTAGACACTCATACAAAGCTTTCCTGTCTTTGCTCTTCCAGCATATTCTCGCCTAACAGTGACAGCCACTACTAGTGAGTAAGAAAAGGAGTAATTTTAAAAAGAGTCCAAAATCAGCAGAGCCAAGTCTGGTTTATAAAGTAAGAGATCCAGTGGGGTAATATTATTTTTGTGTGTCAACCTAGAGATAGGATTATAAAGCAAGACGACTGATTTCCTGTGCGGTTTACAAGTGGATCTCCAGGCAGTTACAGCGGAGAAATTCCAAAAATGCTTAACATGATGACAACATGGTGAGATAGAGAATATTACTGCTACCAATAGTTAGTGTAAAGGACTTTTGTGTTTTTAAAAATTGTGTGGCTATTTAAACATCGCATGTGGAATCTGAAGTGCTTGTATATTAAACACCACTGCTTGCTGCTTTTACTAGCATTGAGTTAAGGGACACATTCGAAATGAAACAGTGCTATGTCCCTGGTTTCAGAGCAGAAGAAGCTCAGGTGATTAGATAATGATGGTAAATACAGCTTTAATTATGAGAGGATTCATTGAAGACTAGAAGATAGCAGGACAGATGCGATGTAAAAAAAAATTTTTTTTTTGGTGTTGAGGGGCTATATTCAAAATACTTCAGTCCATAATCCATCTCTTAAGATGGGCTGATTAATTAATGGCCTCCCTGTCCCAGGATTCACATTCTTTGGAAATGACTTCTATTAAATTTCAATAAATTGTGAGTCCCAGTGGTATTTTATTTTGCAAACATGGATGAGTTCATCTATATCTAGGTCACTTGGTCAGAATGCTCGAGAAGACGACTACGGAAACATAGTCATTCCATATTCTTAGTTACCCTCACTGCTGCTCCTGCATTGCCCGCTCTCCATGTGGCATGACCCAAGAACAGGAGGAGAGAATGAGACAGAAGGGCAATCCCAATGCCAAACTGCGCATCTGCAGCCAATTCCAGCTAGCCTCAGGGATGCCACCTCATAGCCTGGGATCCGATGCTTTCTCCCAGAATGACTGATGAGGAGTACTGGGCAGTGAAACATTTTGTTATGAGAAAGTGCTGGACAGACATTTCATGATTAAAGTCAACTCTAATGATCTAACATCCCATTCCCGATCAGTTCGCTGGATGTCCGGCATTTTGCTTTGCTTAGAGAGGAAGGTCTGATCACATCACACTACGACAGAAAGGATCAAGTGAAATGAAAGCTGGGTCCTGATGGATGAATAAGAAGTCACTGGGGTGGGAGGAGAAAGGAGACTTCAGGGAGATGGAAACCTTATGTAATTTTTAAAAGATCCATTTGTTACGCTTGGAAATGAAATTTTTTGTTATAAGTCTATAATTTATTAAAATTATGCTGTTGTAGGGTGAAGGATCATCTTAAAATGTCAAGGTAATGGTGAGATGGTCCTCTCATTTGATAGGCAAAGTGACCTATCTAGTCACATGGGACAAATCCCAGGTCACTCGTTCAGCCTTAGGATGCATGAACTATCCCACTGGGGCATCTCAGTTGGAGGACAGCGGCTGCCCAGATGATGGTTTCATCCCTCTGGAGGTTGCATTTCCTTGATGACCCTGGTGACAGATTTGGGACCAATTTCTAAAAATGTGAACCTTTCCCTGATTTAATGGGTTAAAGTTATATACAGTACAAGAAAAAAAAAAAAAGTTTCCTTCCAAACTTTTGAAAAATGGTGTTCTGTTTAAATGTTTACATGGTAAAATGGTTGCTTCCGTCAATCGATCTAAAAATGTTTTTATCAAATTTATAGGCTTGGACTTTGATGACATTGTTTATATCTTAATTATCATTTATTTAAAGATTGAGTACCAAAGGGGGCAGGAACCGGATTTAGTATTTAGGGCACAGCCTGGTAGATATATTTGAAGAACTGGCTGGCCTTCCTTGCCAAAGAATACCCTTGGGGTCGGATTCCTTTTTTGAAGGAGGGTCCCTCCCCGCCCCCACCCCCAGGTGCCACTTGCAATGTGTTTTGGGACTGGTGGCCATGGAAGGTGCAGCGAGGGCTCACGATCAGAGGGGTCACCAGAGCCGAGCAGCACCCTGGCCTAAGGCTGCCTTCACAGTTAAGGCACGCTTTGGGTCTTCAGGCCCTGTTCACTGTGATGAGCAGGCAAAACCTGAAGAATTTCATTTACAGAAAATTCTGTCAGTTGCTCCAGTGGTTTCATCACAGGACAATGTCTGAAAAAAATCTATACAGACAAAAGGAGGGAGCCATGCAAATGACAGCAACCGGGGAAAGGCCACGGAGACTTCATCAGTAGAGTCTGTTACCATCTCAGAGAATAAGCACAGGGACCAGACTTTTCATGTAAGAGACAAATTCCTGTAGTCATTTGTGCACAGCTAATTTTTGTAAACAAAAATAATTCAGCCAGCAAGTGTACTTGCTTTGAGGCCAGAGGAAGAGGCCAGTATAAAGGGATAAGGAGAGAGTAAGTCTGAGAATATTAAGGTAAAATGACTGGTGTTCTGGTGTGCAGAAGTGAAGGCAATTCTGAAAGAAAACAGTCTGGTATCCAAACGGGAAGGGCAGAGCAGGCTAAATATCCAGGCTAATTCTGGATATTTCTGGATTTTAGATTCCATAAACTTCAGATTCTGAAGGCTTATTGAAAAAGCCAAGTTCCTCAATATGGGAAATTCTATCTGGCTGTACTTTGAGAGTTATTATTTTTCTACTTTTGAAAAAATATTTTGAATATTTTTTATATATATATATATAATATTAACAGAATACTTCAGGGGGTCATATTCCAGATAAATATGACACAATCTGCATCATCCCCAATATTTTAGAGCATACTGCTCTTAAAGAAGCAGCCTGCCCTTTCCCTTGCTGCTCGGAAATAAAGTGCCTAATAGCAGCTTTCAAGTTCTAGTGGGAGAAATAAAAATAAAACTGGGCCATCTCACATTACCATACGAATGGGTCTCTTCTAACCGTATACTTACAGAAATAAAACATCATAGCCCTCTCTGTACACCAGGCTAACACTTGCTAGTTGCACTAAAGTATCATAGTAATTAGCAGCATGAAGTAAAATAAGTATTTATCACCTAAAATGCTGAACCAACATCTTCTGCGGCCATTTCTCTAGATACAAAAATGTAAAAACATATTAAAAAAACTTAAAACAAAATAAGCTGGTAGTTTTAGAATTTTAAAGCATGCCCTCCCTCCCCCCATCCTCCAAAAAAATCAGGGGGAAAAAAAGACAAAAATCAGAATATGAACAGGCTGCATAATTCCTTATCTAGCAGTAGGAGGAAAAAGTTGAATATCAAAATAAGATACAAAATACAAATGTATGACATCCAAAACACCATGGTAGGAAGTAGTAAACAAGTTATACCAGGACACAGCTTGGTTTATTTTCCACTATTAAACGTATAAACAAAACTAAGAGTAAGAAAACAAGAGACAGATAATGTAGCAAAAATGTATTTCTCTCCAACATGATTGGCCACGATTCTTCAAAATGTATCCTCAACAGAGAGAAAATCAAAGAAAAGTTTAGAGTTATTTTAAAGGATGATCTAGATTTTAAGTTTCTTTTGAGCAGTGTTTACCGCTTTCTATTCATGTTCTGGGTTTTAAAGACTAAATTTGTACAAATAATAGTCCCTGGGGATTAAAAGTAGGGGGGCGGGGAAAAACCCAACCAAAAGCAGAAACAAAACTTTGTGTGTGGGGTGGGGGGAGGAGATAAAAATTATACTCACTTTTCCATCTGAGTTTGAACCAGAAAGGATGGGCTTTACCTCACTTTTTTTGGTCTGCTATTTGAAATCCATCAGCTATAATTCTTACATATAGTGTGTGTTAAAGAAAAGTTAAACAACTTCCACAAACAGTAAAAGCTGTTCCTCTAAGGGAAAGAAAAACATGCACCAAAAACCAGAATAGAACCCCAGAACCCTATTTGGAGGGAGGTTTGTTGCCAATGCCCATAGCCTCCCCTATCAAATGCTTCTCTCATTTGACAATTTTCAAGTGATTTAGGGAACAGAAGACTCCGTTAGAATGTGAAACCTGGATATGAACAGTAAAGGAGAAGATTGGAGTTGTATTTACAAAGGAAAGGCATATATATATATCTATATATATATAGATATATATATATATAGGCATATATATATATCTATATATATATAGATATATATATATATATGCATAGCACCAGATTTTTCAAGTAAGCAAGTTCAGCGTCAAACTAATCCGAACCAAAATTTCACATTTGTAAACTCTCCCCCTCACTTCCCCAGCGGAGAGCTGTGGGATGTGTCAGCTTGATGCTCTTCACTAATGGTGTGAACTCAAAAGGTAGTTTTTCTGCAGCTAAACGGATTCCAAGTCTCAGATATCCCCAGGACAAGTGTGCTGCCCTCTACTGGCTTTTACAGACCAAATCTGGAACCATCCATTTTTTCCTTCTTTGTAAGTGTCTAGAGAATTGCTTCCTTTGTGACAATGTGTGCAACCATGCACACACACATACTGATAATCTATAAACGATTCTAATAGCCAAAGGATACTTTTTATCAGGAATTACCCAAAGAAAGTGATTTTTGAAATAATGGGACTAAAAATATTTTTTTAGAGTCTCTTTGATACCCTTGGTGCTTAAACATTCAATTTATTGTCTGATTTCTGGATATTTCTGGATTTTAGATTCCATACACTTCAGATTCTGAAGGCTTATTGAAAAATCCAAGTTCCTCAATATGGGAAATTCTATCTGGCTGTACTTTGAGAGTTATTCTTTTTCTACTTTTGAAAAAATATTTTGAATATTTTATATATATATATATATATATATAATATTAACAGAATACTTCAGGGGGTCATATTCCAGATAAATATGACACAATCTGCATCATCCCCAATATTTTAGATATTAAAATAAGGGTAAAATTTGGAGTAAGTTGTCTGACATATTTCCCAGCCTAAGTGTTCATGTAGCATATTAAAATTTAAGTTGATATTTGGTTTGGTAAGCTATCCCTGTGTACTGTATGCATCTGTTAGTGATAGAGAAGATTTTCAAATCACGGTATATTGAACCTGATTTTGCAGAAGCAGACTTGGAACCTCTCCGGCTCTCCTTCCACAAGGCTCAGTGAGTCAGTCTGGGCAGCGCACACCTTTGCTTTCATTCACTCACTGCGGTCAGGCTTAATGGTACTAACATGCAATCCTAGCATAACACGGACACTAGCACTGACGTTTCTGAATCATTCCCCCAGGTAATAAAAATATATATATAGATAGATATACATATAGAGATCTGCAGCTGTACTAATTACTTCAAATAGCAGCAGACAAGGAAAATAAGCACTTAATCACTTGCTTCGTAAGTTTAAGTTCATTTTGTTTGCTATATTAAGTTTAAAAATTAAAAAAATATCAACTTACTATAAACAATTTAAAATATGTATAATACAACTTCATGGTCAAAACATTTGAATAGTCTATGAAAACAGGAAATACTTTGATCTTCCATTTGTTTAAGTTCCATACATGATTTTTCAATGCGTCTCTTCCAAGAGAAACCATGAAACGGTTGTCTTATTTTGAGAAGTAATTTTGTTTAGGGATTTCCTCATCACAAAAA